TTTATTTTCCTATTTGTATCCCCTTCCCCCCTTGTTTGTTAGCCGCCCTGAGTCCCTTGGGAATAGGGCAGCATACAAATTGAATAAACTACAACTACTGCATTGTCTGAGAATCAGACACAATTGAACAGAAGTGGGGGTGGGGGGAAATCCAAGAAGAGACTCTATTTCCAGTGATACTATAGAGTTGGATAATCTATAACTAAACTTCCTTGACATAAGAGTCATAGCTGCTCACAAATAAGGAGCAGAGGACAATTTATTAGATGGTCATCAGAAAACTCTGTAAATAACCAACTCCTTCGAGAGCTGAAGGTTCATGGCTATATACTGTATCTAGAGGCCTTGGTATGTTACTGAGTATTTTCTTGTGAGAACCATAAACAGGGAGCTGCTGTTGCACTTGCTGCATATTGTTGAGTTCCAAGAGTCATCTGGTTGACCTCTATGTGTGCAGTCTAGTGGATCCGATAGCTATTTAACTTGATTCAACAAAGTTTTCTCAGGGCATTTGGATGTTTTCAGAGATTCTGTTCATTAGAAGCACATTAAAGGATGCAAAGTGCACATGAAAGAGAGGAGAAAAGTTCTAGGAAGGACAGGTTTGCTGTTAAAAAGTTTAAATTTTTTTTGTACCTTCTTCTATACCAAATTTTAAAAATGTAAAGGGAGCTGGACTCATCCCTCTGAGGTTTGTCATTAAAGCAGCGTTATTTATTAATACAGGACATGGCTTGATTCATAAGGAATAAATAATGTATTTGTGATTAATAAGACATTCATTCTTTGCATTACCCTATAATAATGTGTTATATTTACTACATTTAGTAGCCTATGAACTAAAGAAACAATCCATTTGCTGACTCACATGAAACAATATGACGTGGAAGATAGCTAGGATATTTGTGCTTTTTATACCTTCCTTCTGACTCAGCCTTCTTTCTGAATAGATTGTGACTGTCCCGTAAATATTCAGCTATTTCCATCTCTGCCCCCATGTGGGAGAGTCAATCTGGTCCCTTGATCGTGGGTTGAAAGTCTTCTTATTGCTCCCTCTGGCATGTAACCAGACACAGCTGAACAATCATATGCAGCCATCTGTCTTTTCAGGGATAGTTTTAGGAATGCCCTCACAAGGCAAATTTCTAGTCCTTTTAGTTGCTGGAGAAGTTTAAACATACAGCATGTAATTGCTGATCATGTCTTGAGGGACCTCTATTTCCATGGAGCATCAGTCAGGAGGGCACTGTAACTATGCTTGAGACACTCCCCTTCCCCCAAACAAGGAGCTTTTCACTTTTTAGATTCACATGATGTTTGTTTAGTTTGTTTAGAATTTATTTGAATTAAAACTCATGGTGTCAAACTCACGCCCCATGGGCTGGATGCGCCATGAGCTGGCCACGCCCAAGCCTGGTATAGCGAAGGGGGGGGGGAAGTGGCAGATACGTCACGTGACGACAATGAGATGACACGATTTTGACACCCCTGCTTTAAAGAGTGAATCTAAAAAGTGAAAAGCTCCTTGTTTGGGGGAAGGGGAGTGTCTCA